ATCACATTGAGAGCATAAACAGGTTTCTGATGAATTGCACAACAAATAAATGGATGAATTTTCTTATAATACGGTATGAACAGTGGTATTAACTCTATAAACAGTGTTTTGACACTTTTATCCAACCAGTTATAGCTGGTACTATATTCACATGCTTGACAAATAACTTCAATGAAAACATTGATTGGACTATGTATAAAAATATTAAATGATTATGCACCATGTAGACTTATTCCACGATTTATGAAGAGAAAATCATTTTTAATCCACCTTATTTTAATGTAAGAGCGAGTGCTCTTGATATTTAAAACTGGTGCATTCGTTCTCATTATGTTTGAATTTATTATTGTAATTATAAACAAGCTGGTTTGCAGCACAATTAGTTTTATTGTTTACTGCACTTTCACAGAAAATAGCTTTCTTCCACATTGCAAAATAAGGGGAATATGTAGCGTTTACCTGTTTGCATTGAAGAATCCATTATACGGAAGAGTTCTTCCTTCTTGGTGCTCTTGATCTGAGAGACGTACCACAGAGCAGTATGACCTCTTCCATCAAGGATCTTCGTATCACTGGAAATCAGAGCAGGTGGATCAGTGACATATTAAATTACCATTAATCTTAAATTCCATTTTACTGTTTACAATTCTACATCTTCCAAATACATTGCATTTCTATTAGTTTTTTCTCATTTTGTCTCTCATAGTTGAGGTATACCTATGATGAAAATTACAGGCCTCTCTCATCTTTTTAAGTGGGAGAACTTGCACAATTGGTGGCTGACTAAATACTTTTTTTCCCCACTGTATATTTTACATTTCCATAACAAATCTAACTGAAATTGGATTCCTTACACTGGAAGAGACATAAGTTCTTTCAACAATTCCACAGGTTGATAGTCCCACGGCGTCTCCAGTTCTTCAAACAGATCCACATCCCTTACAGCCAGCATCAAGGGAGTCAGTCCATCTCTGTTCTGTTTATTCAACTCCACCAAGTCAGTCTGGGCCTGTAACACACAAACAATATAAGCTTTGTTTGTTGTAATTTACTCCACCTCTCCCTCACATGACAGGTGGCCAATACTGATCCATCAGAGAACTCCCTATGGAGTCTAGTCTGCTTTGTGTGAACCAAATGTTGATACCACATTTCAAACAGTCAAATGGCAAGTGGAAGTTGAAGTCTGAGCTGCTCACCATCAGGTCCTGTAGACAGCAGAGGTCTCCCCTCCCGGCTGCTTTTGAGAGCTGCCTCTGATGGGGTACATCTCCGATCATAGCCGTCAACAGCTCCTCTTGGAGTGCTGGTTGACTAACGTGAAGAGCTGTCTGGTTGCTATGGTTACACAGCGTAGCATCGTCTCCTCTTTTCAGAAGGAAATGCATCACCTGTTTTCAAAATTGCCTATGTTAAAAGCAATGTATCAGAATGATAATTAAAATTATAATGAACTAGGTGAATAATAGTCTTATAGGTTTATGATATTTAAGCAATCAAACAAGTGAGCGTTCCATGCTGACATTAACCGACATCAAATGTGCAAGTGTGATATAGCTTTTATACAACAATTCAATGAATTAATATTAATAAACCTAAATTTCGGGGACAATATTGGCAGTATATTTTTGCTCTGCCAGCTAAAATAATTCCAAACGAAGCTGATGCAAAATTATGTTGCAATTTTTGATCGAGTGCTGCTGTGCTGTAAAAAATCTGACGTTTTAAACTAATCAATTGAGTAAAGTCAAGTCAAGTCAAGTCACCTTTATTTATATAGCGCTTTTAACAATACAGATTGTGACAAAGCAACTGAACAGCATTAATTAGGAAAATAGTGTCAATAATGCAAAATGACAATAGTAAACACTAATTTTTCAGTTAAAGACAGTTCATCATTGAATTCAGTGATGTCAACATCCAGCTCAGTTTAAATAATATCTTTGCAATCATGTCAACGATAACGCGGGAAATGAAGTGCCCCCAACTAAGCAAGCCAGAGGCGACAGCGGCAAGGAACCAAAACTCCAGCGGGGACAGAATGGAGAAAAAACCTTGGGAGAAACCAGGCTCAGTCGGGGGGCCAGTTCTCCTCTGACCAGACGAACCAGCAGAACGGAAAAATCAATATAAGACGTAATAAAACAGACGATGAATAATATGAACAGCAATTATTATATGATGCAATCAAACTTATAGCAAAATGTGGTAGTTCTGTATGTTGTTTCAGGGTTGGCATCATCTGAGGTCCTCTGAGGAGTTGCATCATCTCTTCTCAGGTGTTCTGGATCCAGACTGAAGCTTGTGTAAATCCTAGTTACCACGGGATGTTAATCCCGTGGCAAAAGACAGAGAAACAAATACAAACATAATTAGCGTAGCTGCTGTTCCAACCAAGCAAAAATTATTTGTTTAACCCAAACTAACGAATAAAGGATTCAATGACTAAAGAAATTGCCTTCTATAACCTCATTCACTATTCCCTACATTACTCCACTATTATAGTCCACTGAATGAGTGAATGAAAACAAATGAGCAAATTCAGACATTGAGTGTGCCGGATGTGCAACGAACGTGGGAATTCATTTGGCGTGACACTCATTGGTTATATTGAGGTGCATTATGGAATTGAATAATGTCCACTATTGTTTGGGACACCACTACAAATGGTTGTCCCTCAAATAGTGCAATATAATGAGGAACTATTTCTTACAGTGTTGTTTCATTCCTTTGAATGAATCTGAGTTGATGACTTACTCTCTCATCAAAACAGTCACTTGTAAAATCCCAAACACCAAAGCACAGACACAAACAAGCAAAGCGATACAAACAAGTAAAATCCCTCATATCAAACTGTATATTATTACTCTTAAAACTAAATGTTGTTTAATGCATAATGCAGCAATTAAATCAAGAAAACAGGAAGTAGTAGAAAGTAGCTAATACAGTAAGTGAAATATTATGCCCATTATTTTAATCAATACATTACACCCTTCCCCCCCCCCCTCCCCCCATTACACTACATTAGCTTTCCTACACAGTGACAGAACACAGCTACAGTTTCTGCCTTGTTTTCATCATATCACCCTATAGTCTCATACCTTTGTAAGACCTCTCCTGCAGGCACTGATAAGAGGAGTGGAGCCCTGTGAATCATGAGGCAGGTCAATTTCTTCCCAAGCGTAGAGTCCCTGCTCCAGTCCCAGAACCACAGCCTCAAGCTCTTCCTTCAACAGCTGCTCCACAAATCTGCTTCTTTCATGTTTACTCATGTTACTCATGCATTACTCAGTGTTCTGGCAAATGCACAAACAGACAATTAGCTGTAGTTCTGGTTCACTAACTGTAATGAATATCTCCTTCAATATTCACAACATGCACAAGAACTGCTTTGTTGCCCCCGCGTGGTTATGTTTATGATGAAGGCAATAATCTCAGTATTATTTAAGTTCAAAGTCATTTAAAGTATTTTTCATCTTAAATAAATTGTAAATGCTTGCTTTTGAAGTTATTTATTAGCACATTTCCCCTAAAGCACCTTCCTGTATATTTTAATAAACCGTAATAAACAGAAATTAATAAATGGCCATGTACTTATTGCATAAGAACACAGAAGCTCTTATAAGCCAATAAGCACAATTCATAATGCATACATCATAGAACTTCCCAAGAAAAACATATTTGATGTTAAACAATAGTTACTAAATAAGAGAATGAAAAGTGTTTTCTGTTGCTTACATTTAAACATGCAAGACTCACCTGTGTCGGCAATTTGTTGCTTCTCTGGACAGAAATGTTTGAGTTAAACGAAGTTAAATTCGTTCTTGTGTTTACGTCCTTGTCTTTGAAGGGCCAGTCCTTTGTCTTCATTGCGCATTTGCCTGAAGCAGCTTTGAGTTTACAGCCTGTTGCGAAGGAGACTCCAGCTTTGGCATGAAAACAATGAACTCACCGTGAGACCCTTGGTTTGATTTCAAAGGTGAAGTGCGCAGAAATGTCTATATTACCATTTGCGGTTGGTTGTTATGATAATAAAATTATATAATTATACAAAAGGAATGGAAGAATTTTAAATCTATCATACCTATTCTCTTATGCCAATATTTAACACATACACCACAAACCTCATATCCAGGTCAGCATATAAGTTGTCTCTTGTTGCCTCTTGCATTTGCGTTGAGCAGAAGCTGTCCTGGGAGTCATTCTGTGGGAGATTGAGTTGCATTGATTGACCTTCACTGGGACCAGCCGCCTTCACAGGCAGAATTACACAGCTGTATTCTACTGCATTACAGGATTACTGTAATGATCCACTTAATTGATCGTGATCTAATTGAATCTTTGCTATACCTTTTACAGTACTTACTGGAACTCCATATAAGTTTAGAGTTAGCTGTAGCATTTTAGACATTATCACAAATCATAGAAGACTTGAACAAGCACGCAGAACCCCGCGACCTCTAGTGTTCACTGCGGAAAGTACTGTTGATGTTGTAATAAACTTTGCTTTTATTACAAAAAAAAAGTCAAGCATTAAATTATCAGATTTCTAAACGTGTGTGTGTGTGTGTGTGTGTGTGTGATATGCAGGCTATAAAATAGACAGTAGGCTAAATAATAGAAAATCAATTAAATAAAAAAGCAACTGAAAAAATGAAATTCATTTATTAACTTTATAATCACACAGTTGCTAAGTTAAATATTTGATTACCAAATTGGTGGTGTTTTTATTATCCGTTCAAATACGTTTCGACATTGCATAACTGACTGTTCAGTTGATTTTTCCATTTAAAAAAAAGAAAGGAAATGAAAGAAAAGAAAAGTCTACATCAAATAAATTACATTTTCCAAAAGTGCTATTGATTTCTTTATTTGTGGAACTTCGTAATTTACCAAATTGTTCCAGTCCCTGTTGCAGTCAGGGGCAGCTCTGCTGAGAGGCGCTGTTGGGCAGCAGAAGCGCGTGCGGAAGGAGCGGCCGCCGTCAGTCAGAGCGCGTGGAGCTGCGGAAGGTGGAACTGTCCAGTGCTGATGCTCTTCAAAGGTGCACTCGGCTTTAGCTCCTGACAGCTGCCGCCGAACGACAACTAAATTACACTCATTGTAAATGATTATGTGACATGTTACGTGCTATTTAAAACGGTGGCCAGGAGTTTATTTTGTCTGGGGTTGTTTTCAGTTTCAAAGCTTCTTTCGCCTAACCAATGGGTACGGCCTGAACGGCTGGCAAGCGTCGAGACATTTTGATTGTTTGATTGATGCATTCCTCTGCAGACTGCGGGGTGGACGACCAGATCTGCTGACCGGAGAGAAAGTTTCCTTGGATAAAATCATTCACGATGGTGGATGCGGCTGAATGTTGTGTGAAGGTGATGTGCCGATTCAGGCCACTTAACGAATCGGAAATCACTAGAGGTGACAAATACATACCGAAATTCAAAGAAGACACCGTGGTGATATCGGTAAGATGTCTTCAGAGTCTACAGATGTTATCAGTGCAGACGAAAAGTCCCTAAATCTTTTTCTCACGTTCGCATTTTCTTTCTTTGTTCAGGAGGTTGCTATATGTACCTTGAGTTAAATGTAGGTCTATTACTCTAACTTGACTCATTAATGTGATCATTTCTTATCTGTCTTATTCTTATCGAATGGTTCTTTCACATTATAAAGGTTAATCCTGAATTAAGTCTTAGACAGCCCAAAATTTCATTTGAAAAATTTGTTTGTTATTTTATCGAGAATCACTCCACACAATGATTTATGGAATATGCTTTCTTTTGTTTTACGAATTTTGCGAATTTTTTTTAATTTTGTATTTTTAATTACATTCATTATAGACTTGGCTACATAAAGCTATTGAACATTCCCCTTATGGTCCAGGAAACAGATAATGGACACATGATGACCCTAAATTGCTACGTGTTGTCCAAATAGGTGGTAATTTGCCACAATGGAACTGGCCATTAAATAACCTATTATAGGCTTTTCAGCAAAACAAAACAAAACGGTAGAACTGTTATGAAACACACACAAAATTAAAAAAAAAGTGAAAGGTAATGTAAAATGTCAAACCGTTGTAGACAAATATTAATTTTAATTAATTTTAATTGATAAATTGCACAAATGTACATCATATAAAACACAAATTTTGCGAATTTTTTTTAATTTTGTATTTTTAATTACATTCATTATAGACTTGGCTACATAAAGCTATTGAACATTCCCCTTATGGTCCAGGAAACAGATAATGGACACATGATGACCCTAAATTGCTACGTGTTGTCCAAATAGGTGGTAATTTGCCACAATGGAACTGGCCATTAAATAACCTATTATAGGCTTTTCAGCAAAACAAAACAAAACGGTAGAACTGTTATGAAACACACACAAAATAAAAAAAAAGTGAAAGGTAATGTAAAATGTCAAACCGTTGTAGACAAATATTAATTTTAATTAATTTTAATTGATAAATTGCACAAATGTACATCATATAAAACACGTGGAATGAAAAACATTGTCCATCTTTTCATTGAAAATCTATCTTCTTTATATTGTTGACCCCAACCTGAATGTACTTGGTGTTCATTTGGTACTCAGTAGATATAACAATGATATTTTAGTTTTAGACATTTTAGTTTGGAGGATAGAATTTATAAAAATATATATATTATTATACTACTTGTGACAAATTTCCCACGTTAACCTTTGAGAATTTTATTGTTCTCAGTATTTCATCAGTGTTTCACTGTCTTGCCATAAAAACTTTGTTTACTTTAATATTATATTTTTCTGAATGACCACCATTTGTGCCAGGCTTTTTAAAGAATTTAGAATTTAGAATGGCAAGTTACCTGTATTTTAGTAGTAGGATCAAATTAAAGAGCATCTGATATCTGGAATGAGAGTCTGAGTGAGTGTGTGTGTGTGTGTGTGTGTGTGTGTGTGTGTGTGTGTGTGTGTGTGTGTGTGGTTGAGTGATGTGCTATAAATAAGCTGGACTGTCAACACTGATGGTTTTTATGTTTTACAGTAAACCTCTTGAAATCCCTTGTGCAAACACAATAGCCCATATTATCTGACCCATTGAGATGGTAATCGGCATTACCATGCCTAATCTGCACACAAAATCGAGCGTAGCAGGTATTAGACTTCTGCTTCTAATGTAAATGATCTTTAATGGTACACTGCATGCTCTGCACAGCCTGATGTTCCTAATGCCAGATATTTAGCTTTAGGATACAAGTGTGACTGTGAATGGAGATCTGGGTAGTATTTGTACATTTATTGTTTATCTAACTGCATCTCATTAGTGATTGTTGTTTAGTAGTGAACCTTTCTGTGTGTTGCTTTAATGCAAAAGATTTTAAACAGTTAATAAAATCAAATTCATTTGTGGGGGAAAGGGTGAATTTCACACCTCCTCCCCCAACAGCTCTGATGAACTAAAATAGAAATAAATAGAAATTAATTAAGATCTATCTATATATCTATCTATCTATCTATCTATCTATCTATCTATCTATCTATCTATCTATCTATCATTTGTATTTTATGTATGAAACTAACTCTGAATAAGAACTTGATATGCAAAAGAATATCTGTTCCATTAAGGATCACAAATATCAACTTCCACAGACTCGCAATGAAATTAAATTTACAATTTTTAATCAGCCTCTGAATTATTGATGAAAATGTAAATGGACTGAAAATGTGGAGAGTAATTGAGTGTGTAATTATAAATAGCACAATTTTAAAGCTTTAAAAATGATGGTATGCTAGTATTAATATTTGTTATTTAAATATGTTGTTTTTATTATTTAGTTTACAAAATTTTAGCAACATTGCAACAATTTTGTAAAAAAAAAAATAATAATCTGCATCAATTTTGATAAATTGTCTATTTACAGTAAAATTATTTAAAAATTATATTAAAAAGTATAAAAAAAATCTAAATTATTTTATAATGATTTATTTCTTTAATTATTTATTAATTCACAGCTTAACATAAACAACCTGCAGTAAACGGGTTACATGGTTTGTGTTTGAGTATAAACTGCTGAAATGAATATCTACCACAAAACAATTGCAGGGAGATTTATAGGACAGATTGTGATAATGAGAAATTACTAATCATTTGCAGCTTGTCAATATCAGGTTTTGCTTTATATGGGTTGACTGGTCAGCGGTAACGTCCTATGCACAAGGCCACAAAGAGGCCCAGGGCTCCTGCAAGTAATTTACATTGCCTTAGTGACAGAGGTTCCATTTGAGGGGCCAGGACTGGCAAGGAACGGATTGGCTGATTTAGTGGAATATTTAAGCCAGTCCACAGAGGATTGGGACAATTGTTGTTTGACACACACTGTCTCATGCATGTTGCTTGTATAAACCCCTTTCTTGTTATATTTTGACATTATCTTCTGCACCCCCTTGCAAACAACTCTTACATTTACTGCATTATTAGATTTCAATTATGACAACTCTCTGAAGATTTTAGCATGGTGATGGATATGACCATTTTAATGTATTTGGTATTGGCGGAATTGATCTGCTACGCTGCTGCTGAATTGCTGCTGCTGAATTGCTGCTGCTGTTGGTTATTTCTGTATTTGTAGATTATTGCTGCTGCTGCTGCTGCAAGCAAGTACAGGAACTTGATACTGCCAATGCATATGCAATACGGTGCAATGAGTATTTAAGACATACTGCTGCTGCACAAATATCATATAATATAACCCGTAGCAGATCTATATACAGGTGGAGCTGGGGAAGGTGGAGGGTTTCAGAGAAACTCTGAAAGCGCGCTGCAGGAATCTCTAGTGAATGCTAGCCAGCCATATAAATGCAAGGCAGTAAGCTCATTTTCTACATGTGCAGCATGAACCAATCAGCTGTGCCAAGCCGTTTAACTCTCTGAATATCATCAGTTACGTTAACAACCCATCAGCCTGCACCATCTAGAGTTTCATGACTGAACTATATATTTATTTACGACACGCATTTGTATCTATATAATCGATTTAAATACTTTATGTAATGTATTATTTCTATTCTACAGACCCATCTGAAATAGAAAAACATGCATTATCCTTGCAAGTATTTGTTCAGGAACTAGGCGATATAGATTTTTGATTGAATGTGGGAAAATCCTGCACTCTTGGAAAAGCCTTGATGGTCCCCAGATAATATGCATAAATTATTGACTAAAAGAATCCATTGACCTGAACACGTGTGCTTTTATATACAGCTAGTGTTTGTGTTTATAAAAGATTGTGTTCAGATTGCAGCGCATGGATAAAAGTCTTGCACAAGATTTAATGTAAATGTCCTTGTCTATTTACTGTTTCTTTCTTTCTTTCTTTCTTTTTCTGTATTACAACAATTAATTTTAATCTGCAGTATTTCTTTGAATTATCACATAAAATGTTGGACAAAAATAGATGATAGATGATTGTCACATCCAGCAATCATGTTATTCTGCTCCTGTATTGGTCAGGAGACGGGTGCTGACTATCAGCCAATCAGGGCATTTCTTTCTGGGTGAGATGTAGTTTCCGTGGTGACGGTCTGGGTTTGAGCAACAGCTCTCATTTGTGTCTCGGCAGGGATGCTTGACCCCAACCGGCTTAATCAAACACACAGACAGAAACATCATGTGTCTGTGTGAACACTATCAAACCTTATACAGCAGTATTAGTGTCTTGTGTGATTTCTTACACAGATAATAAACAGGGCAAAGGCATGTCTGTGTTAGGTCACCTGAACCGTATGTTTCACTCATGGATGTTAAAATAAGGCATAGGATAGACCTGGATCTGTGTAGGTCTCAGGAATCTCTCTCTCTCTCTCTCTTTCTCTCTTTCCATATGGAAAAGTCTATTTGTGTGCATATGGGCAAAAGAGGATGTGGGAAAACTGCTGTCAGCAGTACATGAGCTTCCCAATGATCTTTGTGTGCATGTGTAAATGCACCGCTAATGCCAAATCTACATTAGCTGATTTTGCACTCCATAAACAGTAAAAGAAAGAAGCATCCGTAGATATTTATCCATCTTAATTTTTTTATTCTAGCTTTTATTATTTTCTTCTTCTTCTTCTTCTTCTTTTTTACTATTACTTAAATGTTTTTGTCTAAACAAAAGTTTAAACATAAGGGTTAGACAAAAGTTAAAATATTTTTGTTAAAATAAAACAAAAATAAAAATACAAAATTGTAACCATTTTACAAGTAAATTTAAATAGTCATTTCTGTGCCAGTAGCATCATCAGACAGAATTCCAAAACGTTTTGTATCTGTTCGATCAAGAATGACAGAGTAGTTTAAGTTATTTTCGGCATTATCAGGAAAAAAAAAAGTGCCCACCTCAGAGGGTTAAAAAACATTTCCCTGCACATAGTTCTTTCTTTGGAGAGTTATTTTTCATTGCTAATCACAGTTTCAAAGTCTGTAGATTTCAGCAGCAGGTTCAGGCTCCGGCTCAGAGAATCAAAACAAAAGAGAGGGATTTGTTGGGGCTCAATAAGATTGACTGGCAGCTGGGGGTTGGGCTACATTCATCACAAGGTCCTCTTATTTTCTCTTCAACAATGTATACCCATCAAATCCTCTAGGGAACTTCATAAATAGCCGTCAGTAGAATCTGTGCAGCATCAGCAAAACAAAGAGGTGCTGGGGCCATTTATGAGAGTGACCTCTTGATGCAAAAATAGAATAATTCTTAAATGAATATGATAAATAATGAAATCAAACTATTTATCTGTTTTGGGCTAAATCATAGAAAACTTAACGCAGAAACTTTACAATTTCAGTCTCACTGGTAAGCATCCAGCTTTGATCATTAGCTGTCTAATACGATTCACTGTGAATGTAACCATAGTTTCCATGTAATACACCATTAATTTATATGTGTGTGTTATTATGAAACATTTGGGGAAAAAATTGAGGTTCTGTGCAAGTCTGTGAAGAACACAGTGTGTCTTGTATTTCAACTAAACAAAGAAAAAAAGGAGGGCTGATTTACTCCACATTTACCTCTCTCATCTTTTTAAGTGGGAGAACTTGCACAATTGGTGGCTGACTAAATACTTTTTTGCCCCACTGTATTTTTAATCTGTAAGGTCTTTGTTATTGTGGGTATTAAAGATATTCATTTATTGAGGGGTTTTAAAGCTTAAAACAAAATATTAATTATATTTTCTATTAGGGTTGCCTCTTGAACTATTTTACGTGTTAAGACCTGTTCAATATTCTTGACTAATGTTTCTTTTTAGGGCAAGCCGTATATCTTTGACCGAGTCTTTCCTCCGAACACAACACAGGAACAAGTATATGATACCTGTGCCAAACAGATTGTTAAAGGTTGTATATACATTACATATAGCTGCATGATAGCTTAAACTATACAGACCTTAAAAGAAAAAAATTTGAAAGTTAAATCACGAGTCTTGCATTTCAGATGTGCTGGATGGCTATAATGGGACAATCTTTGCATATGGCCAAACCTCATCAGGGAAGACACACACTATGGAGGTAAGGAAGAAAAACGAAATCATATCATGATTGGTATCAAGTTCACACATTTCTATATAGTTCAGTAATAGAATAAACTTTAAGTACATGTACAGTGAGAAAATGTCACTACACGCACAGTCACAAAATGCTCTAGATGGATGAACGGCATCTTTCATAAAATGACTGAAATACCAAACTGCTGCAACAGCTGCAAAATGCCACTTGACTGCAGGCGTTGCCCTGGAAACAGCCTGTGCTTTCAGCAAGTGTTTTGAATATAAAGTCAATAAATTCAGTTGTAAAATATTTCTGAAAAAGAATGACTGAAAGATGCAAATTATGCAAAACAAGGATGTCCTCGTACATTCTTCAGAGGGAATACTTGTATTATCCTTATTCACATATCACTTCCCATATCGTAGAGGGAAATAGAAATTCTTCAATGCAGTGCTTAGTTCTTACACAAACTGTCATTAGTTTCTTGAAATAAAGTGGCATCTTATCAAACATTTGCTGTAATTGTGCTCTGCAACATGCGCACAGGGACAGCTCCATAACTCACAACTGAAGGGCATCATCCCTCGCATCGCCCAGGACATCTTTGACCACATCTACTCTATGGATGAGAACCTGGAGTTCCATATCAAGGTGAAATCATTCAGCATTAAATCTGCTTGTGTATTTCCCATGTGAAACCATCAAATTCTATATTGTTTTTAATAATATTCGTATATTAACAAATCGAGAGAAAAAAGCTTAGCTGTCTAGAAAAATAAATATGAATGGATTTTTTTCTCTGGCATAAAGTAATATATAGCATATTCAATTATAGGTTATGTTAATTAGTTATTGGACTGGTCATGGGGCTTCATTAAAGGAGTATAATATTGTAGTCAGTGCTATAGTGGTATAAAAACTCTTTTGAAAGGAGAGCGAAATCTTTGTTCACTACCATATCAACAGAAAATCTATTCCAGCATCTTCTTTTCAGTGTATAATACTATTCAACGTCAACTGGAATTGGGTTTGGTCTCTTCATTACAAATATTTATGATAAGATAAAAGCAGTCACATTTAAAATATTACATAGACGGTACCAATGTATCAAACTTAATAAATATTTTTAAAGTATTGAGAAAAAAAGGTATTTTTATGACAGTTGTGCATCTTTTTTTGAGAATGTTTTTATTTTATTTATTTGTTTGTTTTTAGAACAAGTGTCTGCATGATTAAAAAAATCTGAATATGTATAAACAGTTTTAATATTATTTTTCATTCTTTTTAATTATTACAGCACAAACTCAGATAGTTTTTTTTATTATTCTTGCTAAATTTAAATTTTTTTATACACAAGTGCAAATCTTTAGCTAATAATCCTCTATTTCCCTTTTTTTCTTTTTTCTTTTTTGATAGACTATAATTCCTATGTTATGTCTTTGATGTGCATTTTTAAATGTTTTGTTAAATAATATTATTAATATATTTTTTTTAAATAAAACCTTTTTAAATTAATGGTCATCCCTTATCATAGGTCTCTTATTTTGAAATCTACCTGGACAAAATCAGAGACTTGCTTGATGGTGAGATAAAAAACAATCACATTCTTCTTCATACTATTAAGATTCTTTCATGATGTAAATTCAATTTGTCCAATGTTGTCCAATTCTAAAGTTTCCAAAACCAACCTGGCTGTCCATGAGGATAAGAACAGGGTGCCATTTGTCAAGGTAGGAAAGATGTACAATGCAGTATTTTTTAGTCACCAGGCATGAGGCAAACACTTCCTTGATGTCTTGTGTCTTTTGATGCTGTTCCGTTGCCAGGGTTGTACAGAGCGTTTTGTGTCCAGTCCAGAGGATGTCATGGATGTGATCGATGAGGGTAAATCCAATCGTCACGTGGCTGTTACAAGTGAGTAACTATTCCTTATTCCCCGATATAACACATCACATCTTGAATCAAACATAACTAATACACAGTGCTGTTATCTTGACCTTGTGCCACACTGTTTTTACCCTAACCCATGGTCCTCTGATGTTACATTGTGTTACAGACATGAATGAGCACAGCTCCCGCAGTCACAGCATTTTCCTCATTAATATTAAGCAGGAGAATGTGGAAACAGAGAAGAAACTGAGCGGAAAACTCTACCTGGTGGATCTTGCAGGAAGTGAAAAGGCATGCATTTATTGATTTTTTTTATATTGTGTTGTTGCCTTTGTTTTATCTCTATTTGTATCTGAAGTAATATAAAAATAACAAAAAGGGGCATATTTAACTTAATAACATTTCTTTTTTACTTTATATCATTTTAATTTTTTATAATATTAACATAAAATAAGATATATTTTATCATATTGTCTTTATATTTTTTTTGTTTTTCTTCCCCTCAAAATTCTAAAACTTAATTTCCCGGTTTTCAATTAGATTATATTTGCAGTATTACCTCAGCCTTTTGTATCCCACTATATATGATCAATAATTATGTTTTGTAAGAATTATAGTTCAAAATCCCTGACATAGTCATAATAAAACTACAAAATAGATTTGAGAATGATATTATATCTCCACTCTCTGTGGCTCTTTCTCTTTCACAGGTCAGTAAAACTGGAGCCGAAGGATCTGTGTTGGACGAGGCTAAAAATATCAACAAGTCTCTCTCTGCTCTGGGGAACGTCATCTCAGCCCTGGCTGAAGGAACCGTAAGTGCTCGACCTGTCTCAACTGCCAAGATGTTTTCTTTTTTTCTTCCACTTCCTCTCTTTTCTCTGAAATGCTACTCATCTTGTCTACATAATGTAGGCTTCACACAGTACAAAGTAATATTTGCTTTATACATTATTTATTGTTTTCTCATTACAGAAAACCCATGTGCCATACAGAGACAGTAAAATGACCAGGATCCTACAGGACTCTTTGGGTGGGAACTGCAGAACAACCATCGTCATCTGTGCCTCTCCCTCTGTATTCAATGAGGCTGAGACCAAATCCACGCTCATGTTTGGCCAGAGGTGAAGCCATCTTATGCCCTAGAAGATTTCTCTTTAACTGTATAAAGACTAGAAATGAAGACTAGCCAGTGGAGCTAAAACAAATATGACCCAAATATGTGCATATACAAATCCTTTCCACCCTGCTCTATTCACACAGGGCCAAAACCATCAAAAACACAGTGTCTGTGAACATGGAGCTCACAGCCGAGGAATGGAAGAAGAAATATGAGAAAGAGAAAGAGAAGACCAGAAATCAAAAAATCACCATCCAGAGGCTAGAAAATGAGCTCAAACGATGGCGGAAAGGTAAAGAGAGTAGATGGAGAGCAAACACAGATGTAAAAAAAAAACAAGCTACAAGCAATAAAACGTCACTTTTTGTTTGCTGTTACATACTGATAAATATTAAACTGATTAGAATTTGATTGGCTTTTTTTTTGTTTCACGTTTAATAGTTGTATAATTGTTATATATTATTATATATTTCTTATAATTTTTTATATTTTATATATACTATTGTTTATTTATATTTATGTGTATATACTGTATATATATATATATATATATATATATATATATATATATTACTGAGGAAAATTTAATTGAAATGATGCTTGACATTTGCAGTGGTTGATTTGAAAATACTGTAATGGTAGAGATGATGCAAATCATTTGGTTTGCTGGGTCTAATGTGCAGAGTCCAGTCAATTTTTGATGTAATTGTCTTAACAAAAGCTTTGTTTTTTGCAGTTTGAGTCCTAAAATGGACTCCACAATGAGGACCCAGATATTTCTTCTTCCCCTGTTTGTTTAAGACTTATTACGGCCAGAGCCTATTTCTGTTTTTGAGTGAAATAATGATGTTTCCAAAGAGGAAATTAAGTTATTTAATAATTGATGTTATTATTTTGTTATATTGATGAGAACTTGACACAAATTGGCCTTCATATAAACCATGCGTGCACTGATGACAAAAATCCACAATAATTGACAATGATAAATACCAATTAGCATTAATTACACAGATTGTCTAATGGTGCACACATAATGACACAAAAACAAACAGGCCTGTCATTAAGTCAAAGCATGTTTGCTACAAAGCACTCACAGTATGTTATGTCAACACCACTTTATATGGCTAAATTACTTTCCTTATTAAAATATTTTTAGTGACATATTCAGCCTCAGACATGTCCAAAGCTTTTCTTTTTTCCCTCCTATGAATCCTGATATGTTTTTTTTTTCATTCTCTCAATCTCTCTCTCCTGCATCCCCATGAATAGGTTTTTATTTTTTGTCTGTGTTATCAGCTCTCTCCACCTCTCCTGCACATAAAACACACAGATGCTGAGTTCACCCGTCTCAGCACTATAAAGCCCAGAGAATAGCACTGAGACTGTGTGTGTGCAGCTGTTCTTTCCTTTACGTCCAATCAGTCGTTCTCATCTCTGTCTTTATCATCAAGTCTGCAGGACCGTTTCCTGAAAGCCTTGTTCCTTTTATTAATGAAGAAACCAATGCCTTTGCTATTTTATTTTATTTTATTTTACAATAACTTCATACTAAAAATCCAAAGCCACTTGATAATTAATTAAAAAAAAAACTGTTGCAGTTGTGTTGGACTGGCATATTTTCCCTCTTTATCCTTAGGTGAGACTGTACCTGTTGATGAGCAGCACAGCAGTAAGGAAGTAAAGAATTCTGAAGCCGCTCCCATAATTGACACTTCGGCTCCGCCCCCTGAGCCTGTTTCTGATTCAGAGAAAACCCAGTATGAGGAGCTGATCAATGACCTGTATCATCAACTAGATGACAAGGTGATAAATACCTCTCACACGCTGTTAGAAAAGTGCATCAGGAAGTACAGCCTTCACAACTCAGACCTTCCTCTCTCCTTCTGTCTTTCACCACAGGATGATGAGATCAACCAGCACAGTCAGCTGGCAGAGAACCTGAAGCAGCAGATGGTGGATCAGGATGAGGTGAATCTGGCTCAAGAGCAGCAACATAGAGCAGAAAACTCATGCCCTCCGCAATTTATGATGTCACATGCCTTCCCATGATACTTTGTCTGCAATGCATCTGAAACTGAAAGAGAAATTGTTATGAAAAAGTTGAACCTGTGTAAACATACATATGCTACTAGCTGATCACTGGCTGGCTGTTATGCATTCCTTCATTGCAGTAGAACATGTTAATCAAAACTCTTTAAAACAAGTGCTTGGGGTAATAATTAGGAAAAAATAATTGATGTTTTACATTGAGCTCTATTATCTCACTGCCTGTACTTAGAAATTCCATTCAGGTACAAAGAGTGGCAACAAAGCAAAATTGCTCCTAATTATACAGGTGGATGTGAAAGACATTTAAAAATAAATGTTGTTCCCATGGAAACAGTTCCACAGGATCTCTAATAGGGTCTTTTGAAACACTTGGACACACCCCAGGAACTCAAAAATCCCAATATTTCTGCATCAGTACACCCCCACCCCACCCCCCACCCCCCCATATTTCTAATTAAATCATTCTGAACAGCATTCCAGTGATCACATACTGTATGTTCTTATGAAATGATACCCTTTACTTCCATCTGAGGTCTGACAGTTTTGCTATCTCTGATTGTACACTAACACTATCGTTCAAAAGTTTGGGGTTACCTGTGTACTTACATAGTAACTAGATGTGTACATAGTATGTAACCACAGTGTAAGTACACATTGGTACATAGTATCCACAGCTGTAATGTTTGTGTAACTACACATATGTAACAATCCACTGAATGGTATGTGTAAATACAAATGTGTAATGAGACATTGGTAACAACACTTTTTGGTAATGAAAGTACAAATGTGTAACAGGACTAACAGCACTTTTTTGTAAAGAAAGTGTTACACTTTATATTAAGTAAACAATTCCTATGGATTTACCATGTAATTACTCTAATGTTACATAGCAGCGGCCAGTAAGTTACGCTTTACATATAAATTGTGGTTGGTGTCCAGAATGTTACACTTTATATTAAGTGGACAGTTCCTGAGGAGTTACCATGTAAGTACACTGGTATTACAGTGGTGCACCAACTCCACCAACTTGAGATCCTCCCACTTTACATATCCCTAAAGCTATATCTCCACCCCCTGGATAAAATCGTTCCAATTACTCCTATACATATTGTTGTTACAAAATGTAGTTTTATATGTCCTGTTACACATTTGTACTTACACAAGCCATTCGGAGGGTTGTTACATGTGTGTAGTTACAGAAATATTGCAGCTCTAGATACTATGTACCAATGTGTACTTACACTGTGGTTACATACTACGTACACATCTAGTTACTATGTAAATACACAGGTATTAGGGCCACTTCATATAAAGTGGGACCAGATTTTTATTTTATTCATGTATTTATTTATATATTTTTAAGAGTTATGCTCACCATAGCAGCATTTATTTGATCAAATATGAAAAAAAAAATATTATGAAATATTATTACAATTTCAAATGACTTTTTTTCTTTTTTAATATATTTTAAATTGTAATTTATTTCCTTTGATGGCAAAGCTGAATTTTCAGCATCATTACTCCAGCCTTCAGTGTCACATGATCCTTCAGAAATCATTCTAATATGCTGATTTGATGCTAACGAAATGTTTTGTTCTTGTTGAATAAATATATGTCTTTCACTAAAAAAAGTGAAACACAAACTTTTGAATGGGTATATATATATATATATATATATATTAACGACAAAGAAGCAGGAATTCTGTAAGTAAAGCTCTAGACAGTCCTCTGACTAACATAGATGTCTGACTTCTCCATCCTGCATTCTTACAGTTATTGGCATCCACACGGCGTGACTACGAGAAGATCCAGGAAGATCTGAGCCGTTTGCAGCATGAGAACGAGGCAGCTAAAGAGGAGGTGAAGGAGGTGCTCCAGGCCTTGGAGGAGCTGGCAGTGAACTACGACCAGAAAAGCCATGAGGTGGAGGAGAGAAGCAAGACAAACCAAGAGCTCACAGAAGAGCTTATACAGAAGACTGTAAGTAGAATAAGGAAAGCTCATGTGAATGAAGAGTGATGGTGATGTAGCTTTGATATTGTCCTGTTATCTCTTAGGCAGCTCTGGCTGGTGTGGAGAGGAATCTGTCTGCCCTGCAGGAGCTCAGTGGACATCACAAGAAGAGATCAGCAGAGATCCTCAGTCTCTTGCTCCGGGACCTCAATGAGATTGGCAGCGTTATTGCCTTGAATGACTACAAGGTAAGAATACACTGCTTAATAAAGAAAAAAGTAAATGCACAACTTATTTGCTTAACAAAAGATAAATTTTAATCATTTTTAAAAGTAAGCCTATAATGTTGTACAGATGTATTTCAATTTCTTATATAATTTGTAAATTGCACCACAATTTTCAACGTTGTAAACACCTCACAACCACTTACATACACATGTGAATTTGTGGTTATTTATATATGTATATATATATTTTATTTATGCACTATACCATTCAAAATTTAGAGTCGTGAAGATTAAAAAAACATTTTTTTTGAAAGAAGTCTCCTATGCTTACAAAGGATGTTATTTGATCAAAAATATAATAAAAACATAATATTGTGAAATATTAATGTAATTTAAAAGAACTGTTTTAATATATTTGAATGAAATTGAAATGCCATTTATTACATTTTTACTCTGATGGCGAAGCTGAATTTTCAGCATCTTCAGTCTCACATGATCCTTCAGAAATCATTCTAAAATACTGATTTGCTGCTCAAGAAACATTTCTTCTTATTATTATTATCAATTCTGAAAACAGTTGCTTAATATATTTTTGGAAACTGTGATACATTTGCAGCAACCATTATGTTTTTTTCTGGATTATGTGATGCATGGAAAGTTCAAAAGAACAGCATTTATTTGAAATAGAATTTATTTGTAACATCTTTACTGTCACTTTTGATGACAGAGATTCAAATAGCAAATGAATTTATTGAAATGAATTCATTCATTTGGTTTCTCTTTCTTTATTCAGATGACAGAGATGAACGGAGGAATGGAGGAGGAATTCACCATGGCACGGCTCTTCATCAGTAAGATGAAGTCAGAAGTGAAGTCTCTGGCCAACCGCAGTAAACTATGCTTACAAAGGATGTTATTTGATCAAAAATATAATAAAAACATAATATTGTGAAATATTAATGTAATTTAAAAGAACTGTTTTAATATATTTGAATGAAATTGAAATGCCATTTATTACATTTTTACTCTGATGGCGAAGCTGAATTTTCAGCATCTTCGGTCTCACATGATCCTTCAGAAATCATTCTAAAATACTGATTTGCTGCTCAAGAAACATTTCTTATTATTATTATTATCAATTCTGAAAACAGTTGCTTAATATATTTTTGGAAACTGTGATACATTTGCAGCAACCATTATGTTTTTTTCTGGATTATGTGATGCATGGAAAGTTCAAAAGAACAGCATTTATTTGAAATAGAATTTATTTGTAACATCTTTACTGTCACTTTTGATGACAGAGATTCAAATAGCAAATGAATTTATTGAAATGAATTCATTCATTTGGTTTCTCTTTCTTTATTCAGATGACAGAGATGAACGGAGGAATGGAGGAGGAATTCACCATGGCACGGCTCTTCATCAGTAAGATGAAGTCAGAAGTGAAGTCTCTGGCCAACCGCAGTAAACAGCTTGAGAGCACACAGGCCGACACAATGCGTAAAATGCAGGCCAACGAGAAAGAGCTCGCTTCCTGCCAGCTCCTGATCTCTCAGGTAACAGCGCCCTCTAGTGGTGATCATAGATCAGAACACTGTAAATGGCTGAGTCTTGATAACTTATCTTTTATGTCCCTTTGGACGATTTTAAAGAGTTTACTTTTTTTTTTTAAATGATAGATTATAGTTGCTTTAAACATATTATTGTTTCTTTTTAATCACTTTTTCTTCATTTTAAGAGGAGAAACGGAAAATCTTCAAACATTTCTCTATTTCAGGCTTTGCCCTACCAACATATTTTAACTTCTATTATATATTATTCACATACTGGTAAAAAAAAAAATTATAGACTGAATGCACTGTAAGTCGCTTTGGATAAAAGTGTCTGCTAAATGCATAATATATAAATTATTAATTATAATTATTATATTCGATTAATTAAAACAATAAGCCCCAAGAAGCTTATGACAGCTAAGGGGGTTTTAGGCACTCCGCTTCGCGTCGTGTGCCTAACAACACCTAACAACCCCTTAGCTGTTATAAATTCACTGTAAACCACGGCTTCACGGGGCTTATTGCTTTTATAAAACGGTTATTCCATATACATAGTAAGGTTTTACAGAATTAAACAGAACAAATAAAGTGTAATGATATTAATAAAAACAGTAGTCTTCCACCAAACAATGTAGTTCCTCAGAAACAGTTGTGGTTGCCGAGCAACACACAGAAGTAAACAAAGGGGTATGTTTGTAGTGTAATTTACAACAGCTTCGAACGCTGCTCAACCAATCAGAATCAAGGACCGGAACTGTCTGTTTTATAAAAAATATTTTTAATTCAAGATTTAAAGGTGTTCACTTTTTCTTTTTGAAACCATTGTTTTTGCATTTTATTTGTATGTGTCTAGCATCAAGCAAAGATCAAATCCCTCACCGACTACATGCAGAGCATGGAACAGAAGAAGAGACAGCTGGAGGAAAGCCACGACTCCCTGATGGAGGAGCTCGCTAAACTCCACGCACAAGGTCTTTGTGATGCACATACTGTATTCTTTTTGTAGTATTTACAATCAATTTGTTGCCTCAGAATACTGTGGTATAATATTATATTCAAATTCAAACAAGCACAACATGTTTTATTCACAGTGCTTTTACTATATATGTAAAACTCTTCTGAAAGTTTTGTGATTATTTTGGTTAATGCAGAAAAGATGCATGAGGTGTCAGTCCTGGATAAGGAAAAGGAACACATGAGCAGGATACAGGACGCTGAGGAGATGAAGGTAATGAACATGAACACTCAGACAACCCTCTCAAACTCAAACAAGCAGAGCAATGTTACAGGAAATCAATAGCTGTCTCTGCATATTAAACGATGATAGAAGTATTAAAGGTCAAATTTGAAGATTAATATTGTGCCATTTATATTCAATATGTAAATCCCACGTGCACCTGCATGTAGAAAGCCCTGGAACAGCAGATGGAAAGCCACAGAGAGGCTCATCAGAAGCAGCTCTCACGTCTGCGAGATGAGATCGAAGAGAAACAGAGGATCTTGGATGAGCTGAAGGAGTAAGTATTTATTCCTGAATACTTCTTGTCAGTTCTATAATTGTTTTATATCTAATATTCATTTGTAATATTTATTTTGAGACATTGAATACATCTGCTTTTGACTGGCATTACTCCAAATTAATGAACTTATCAAAAGTTTGATTCATTCAATAATTCCCTGCTCTCAGTGTGAACCAGGCTCTTCAGCTTGAACAGAAGCAGCTCATGTCTGACTATGAAAAGCTGAAACAGGAGGAACAGAAGAAAGACGAGAGGCTGCAGAAGCTTCTGTGAGTCAGCTGCTCATATTAAAAAGTCATATATATTATCTGCTCATGGAATAAGTCAGTGAAAGATTTTATGAGTGACAATGTTTGTAAAACAGCTCTGTTCCTCTAATAAAGACATTTTTGTTGTAATTAGCTTGTTGAATGAGAAGAGGGAGCAAGCTAAAGAAGATCTCAAGGGTCTGGAAGAGACTGTGGTGAGTAAGATGACATTACCTGGCATTAGAGTTTGCCTCTGAGCACCACCATTGGCCATCTCAGAGTTGTTCATCTTGAATATTCATCCTGTGTATAGCTGTTATTCTTGTATAAAGTATTTTTTTAGATCACTGATCATGACGTTTTCTCTTCTACAAGGCCAAAGAGCTCCAGACTCTCCACAACCTCCGTGTGCTGTTCATCCAGGACATCAATAATCGCATTGGACGAGTGAGTATACAAAACAAATACTGTTCCCTTCTTTTATGATTTTACTTTTTTCATATGAGTGGCAATGTGCTAGTATTCTCTGACCAACAGCTTCCAGTTACTGCTTTTAATGATGCAAAACTAGACTATAATAGGAATAAGGAAACACATTAAAGCAAGACACTACATGCAAAGCATTGTTTTTTCATGCACTGGCCAATACTGAGATTCTGGGCTATTTTTGCTTCCATAAAATATCTTCTTTTAGACTAGTGGATAGAATATAGCCAAAACACACATATAAGCATTTATTTTGTTACACTTTATCTATGTGCGTCTGTAGATATTAATTTCAATGCATATCATTAAAGGCTGTTTTCTAATGCACTGAGCCAAAAATCATCATTCAGTAGTAGGTTTATTCCAATCTAAATTCGGAATAAAATTCTTGTTTTATTTTGTTGAGATATAAGTAAAAGATTTTTACAGATGTTAAGTTTTCTTTACATTTTGGATATCTATTTTTATCAATCCATAAATCAGTAAATACTGTCAAAAGCAAGAAAAACAATAGCTTTTTACCATGTTTTTAGGAATATAATGTATAAATTGTACAAAATGATATATGTACAAACTTATCCTCTGTAAAAACCATTAACTCTAATATGTCCACAAAACTAAACAAATTGAACCTGGCTTCATCCAATGTTCAGATTTCTGTTCTGGAATGTTATGCAAATTAGAGCTAATTTAATTTGATAATGCCTCTTTTGCATATTTAAACATCATTTTAGAAAACAAAGCTAAACACTTTTTCCTAATGTACTGAGTAGTCAACTGAGGACGTATGGTGATATCTGCAGTAATAGTTATAACATTTTTAGCTATTAAACTGCTTTTTAAATGGTTCAAATAAATAAGGTGTAACTGGCCACTGTGGAAAAAAATGACATTTCGTTTTTGTAGAGTGCAGAGTTGGACACTGATGAATCAGGGGGAAGTCTGGCACAAAAACAGAAAATAATTTTCCTCGAGAACAACCTGGAGCAGCTCACTAAAGTCCACAAGCAGGTTTTTAGGATTTTTTTTTTTTTTACTTTTCACAGGAATTACAAATAAATGATTATTTATAAATAATGTATATTATAATATAATATGGTATTAGTAATTCTGTCTATATATTCTGCAATTTCCATAGCTGGTACATGATAATGCAGACTTAAGATGTGAGCTGCCCAAACTAGAAAAGCGCTTGCGTGCAACTGCTGAGCGTGTGAAGATCCTGGAGTCTGCTCTGAGAGAGGCCAAAGAAAGCGCCATGAGAGACCGTAAGAAGTACCAGCAGGAGGTGGACCGTATCAAAGAGGTTATCCGAGCCAAGAACCAGGCCAGGATGAAACACACTGCACAGATCGGTTAGAGCTGCTTCATCTTCAGATCTCAATGTTGCATTATATCCAGTAGAGGCCGCCACATACTCAGTAATACCACCTCATCTCCTGTTACCTGATGACCAAACCCTCTCATGCATTGCTGCTTGTCTCCCATATATTATGCATATTCCATATATGTATGTGCGCATATTCATTTACTTTAGATTCTATCTGTAAGTTTTTTAAATATGTTTCATTTTGAACTGCACTGTTTCTTATAGCTAAGCCTATTCGTGCTGGACATCATCACTCAGTTGCTTCTGCCTCACCGGGCCACAGTGTCAGAGGGGGCGTCCCAAGCCCACGACGACACCACCAGCACCAACCGCAGCACCATCACAGGAGCAAGTGAAAAACACACCAAGTAGGTTTGTTTTAAAACACTCTTTTGTTGTCAAATGAGCTTTTTCTGCCACAGCAATATTGCTTCATTTTAACCCTGTAACGACTGGCAAATGAAATCATATTCTGAAATAGTATCATATTTGGTACATCAGGCTTTTATGATTCATATAGTATGATATAAAATGCATATACATATCAGTTGTCACTCTATATCTCCCAATAATATGTCTTATTTGATACATGCTCACATTTTAACATGATTTTTTAGTAGCTTCAATATTACTAACAATATAGAAATTATTCTTACATTTAGTTTATAAAAATCGGTAAAGATTTCACAGCAAAAAGACGTGTACCACAAACTGAAGGTGGACATTTTTACAATTATACTGAAAGTTTGGTTTATACTTTTTTACTTATAAAAGTATAAACTATCAATCGGATGACAGAAGGCATGTAGAAGATTGTTTGCAACAGGTTTTTCAGTTTTGATAATGTATCAGATATGATAGGGTTAAGTCATGGAGCCATGTCATGTTCCTTCAGATGCATGTGTTATTCTTCTTCATTTGACGTTGGAACAAGCTTGCGTGATTCTGTTTGGCTTAATGCTGAGATTAATGGGTCAGTGCTGAAAAATGTTGCTAGTTAGGTTTCCAGCATGTGATGCATCTGGGAAGCACAAATAACTTTAGTCGGAAAGTTGTGGCGTAACATTAGTTACTGTGCCAACTGTTTGACAAAGATGGAGCAACATGGTTATAATAGTTACAAAAGACTTGTGCCCGAATGCTTGGGAACGTCAGTGAACTGTGGCCAGTGTCTAGTGCCATCTGGCATTCGCTGAAATGTTGTCAAAGTTTATGGATCTATTTCAGACTCACTTTCGTTTACCTAGTCAGGAAGATTTTCTTCATGTTCTGGGTTACAAGAAAAGCTGTTAGTCAGCAATACAATGTTTAGGGTGGTGGAATGTTTTTTGCAAATATTTTTTCTGACAGGTTTCCTCCCAATACGGCGTATCTAACTCTTTACACTTCCAACAGGAGACAAAAAATAAGCGGTCTGGTACCAGTCTGCACATTCTTTCCTTTCCAGCTATGTGTGGCAACAAGAAGACGTCTTTTTCCAATGCAGTCTGTTCTATTCAATGAGGAGGGAAAAAGAACTGCTGTCATCTTATACTAAGACTTTTCAAGTTCACTTCCTGTCCTTACCATGACCTCCATGCATTCATTCTGTTTAAGTGGAGATTTGTGGACTCATCTATGAATAAACAAAACCAGACCCACAAACTAAGACTAAAGGATATTGTCTTTTAAAATGATTGAAGTGCTATTTCATTGCAACTTTTTTTTTCTTGGTTTTTTTGTTGTTGCCCCGAGTCGTTTAGTATATGAAGAAGTCTTCAGTGTTTCTATCACATTCTGATTACAGTAATTTGGCTCGTCTGTCATTACACATGCCAGGTTAGTTTCCATAGTAGGAAGTCTGGGAGGATGAAAAGTTGTCACTAGAACCTACACTGGAAGTTTTGACACCCTCAGGAGTAACATTAAGAGCTTTCTGTGGTTCTTTTAATTGGCACTAATTCCTTCAGTCTTAATGGCCATTGAGAACATGCAGTGACATGACTTAGGAATGTAGCTTAGGAACACACACATTGCTTCAAGCTTAATTCGTCATGATTTATAACAACTGATAATGCTGTTGCTGGATGTTCATTTTTATATGCATTTATTTATTTATTTTTATGTTAGGTATTGGAATTGAGTTTATTTTATTTACATATTGTCTTTTGTATATTATTTTTGAGTTCCTCACAGTAGATCCAGGTTGTCATGTGTAGACGTTGTTATGCAGATATGGGTGCTTTGAAATTTTTAGTCACTGTTATTTATACCGTAAAGTGCTCTGGAGCAAACAACAACTGTAAAATATCAGTATTAATACCACATTAGTGGGAAAATCGGGAATAATTTCTATATTCCTGTTATTAAACTGACCTGTTTTGAAGGGCATGAAATGCAATCATTTAAAGAAAGCCAAAGTCAGAGACATGACAGCTTCACATATGAAAAGATAAGTTAAAGAACGCAAATGTGGAGAGATTTTACAGCTTATTGTTCTTTTTGCATTTTATGCGCTGAATTATACTGCATAATTTAATTTTGCTTATTTTAATATCATTATTTATTATTCTTGATATCATTATAATATGAATGAACGATTCTTTAAAAAAAAAACTCCAATGAAGAGATATCATAGATTTTTTGAAGAATCACAAATATTGTTTCATCAGGTAAAATATGCTACCATGCCATAGCTATTTACAATCTTGTGCTAATACTGTACAAAAATGTTGCCTACTAACTTGTCTGGTGTTAATTGTCTCTGGTCTATACTTCTGCGTCTATACTTAGCATTGTTTTTTGTTATCAGCTGTAATGAAGTGACATAAGTACATGAAAATGTTAATATGGTGAAAACAAATTCTTAATCAGTTTAATGTAATGACTGACCAGCTCCATGATAAGTAATGTGAACACTGTCTTGCACTCTCTTGTTGGATGTTGTGAATTGAGGAAGAAAAACACAAACACTTTCACAGAAATTCAACTTAGTTTCTATTTGAGAACCTGTCCTATCAAAAGAACATCATAACTGAAATAATTCGTTTTTCCTATTTAAAAGATCATCTAATGTAAAGCATACAAACCACATAACCTAGTGTTTTTGTATCTATGTCCTTGTACTGTTTTTTTCCATGTAGGCTACAGCTCTATTGTGGTGATCACTGTACTGCACACAGAGACCTCTTCAAATCGAGTTTGTCTTCAGGTTCTTGTTAATCAGTGCTTCTGAAATGTGCTATAACTATAACTTTACCTCAGCAGCGCATGGAGCATATTAAAGAACATGGAATGAACTTCAAATGAATCAGTTGTTTTGTAGGTGAATGAAGTGCCACAACAAGGATATGAAAAGGTTTCTAATGTCTGCTTGTTTCGAGATCATGCTTAAAGCGCACGTGTTGTGGATAACAGGGTTTTACCTACAGAGTGTGACACTCATTTATCAGATGTTGATGTGGAATAAATAAAAATTTACTAAATGTATCTTGCAGCAATTTTGTCTTCTCTTGGCAAACAGTTTTACTTTGCTGTAAATTGCTTTGAGGAAAAAATAAACATGGACAACTTTATGAAAACCTATGTTGGTGTGCGGATAGTTTTGAGTGGGGACAGCTAAAGTACAGGATCAAAGCAAGTCCACTTTTTCTGCCAATCGATTGTTTTGAACAATGCGTTTCAAAGAAACGGTAAATAGATTGAAATTTACTGTAATTGCGGCATCAAGTGATCCTGACATCCTTGTGAGCATATTACAACATGGTATAAAATGTTCTAAGAAATCCATATGTAGCAGGTACATTACTTTTTGTTGTGTTTTATTAAGTTTTTAAGAGTGTTCGGCCGCTCAGTCACTGATCTGGTCCCAATCGAACATGTCAGAAATACGGTTCTAATGAGTCAGATTCGAGAACCGCTTTAGATGTGAACTGGTTCAACTGATTCACTAAAATATTTGACTCAAAAGAAAAGGAATCCTGACGTCGAGACCCAGTCGACCAATCAGAGACTGAGTTAGTGAGAGCGGCGAGACCAGGGTGAGACGCTAAAAACCACAGCAGCAAATGCAGTAATGCACTCATTTTGTAGTTGACTGTGGCCGTGTTGTCCCACATCGCTGCAGAGGGGATGCGGGTGACCTTCACGTACTAGAAGGAGTTGTGATTTGTGAATGAAATCACACACGTCGACGGTGAGTATGCTTTGAGCTCTTTAAGTTTGACAGGTAAACTCTATGGGACAAACGCTCAAGATCTCTTTGCCAAAACCAAACTCATGAACAAGATGTCAACACAGCGGGACTTATTATTTAACGTTAGACACTTTTACATTATGTTAGTCTAAATCTTTTACACAACCGGCTTGGATCTAATGACCACTCCTGCTAGTTGCCACACGTTTTATTTCACCGAGCACTCAGCATGATGTTATTTTATAACATAGGTTTTTAGGCACACCTTTAAATCTTGGCTATAAATAATAAATAATTGAACATTGACATCGTTATGGAAAATGCAGTTCATTGAAACATGCCGGGATATGTTCATGACACTATATTTTAAATAAAAATGCCATTATCCACAACATGCAAATTATATAGACTAGTTTTTTTTTTCTTCAAAATTTGAACAGTAAATAAATAATAAAACTGAAGAAATGAAAAAGGTATAAAAAATGCTAAAATATTTTTGCCCAATTGTATTTTATGAATTAATTTTTTATCATTTATAAAATTACAACATATGTGGCATTATAACCCCAACCTGACATTTATGACAAATAACCATGTCCTTCATTGTAGTTATTTAAGCAATAACAGAAATGATTGGATGTTTAGCTTGGTTGACATAATTCATAAAAAAAATATTATTTTTAGTTTTTACTTGGGTGTCTGAAACCATCTTTCATAAGCATTGCTTTAGGGGAAAAAAATCCATTGAACCCAGTTATCCCTGTTGATTCATCAATAAAAGTCATCTGGATGACACAAATGCAAAATGCCAAAATCAAATGAATTAATTAAAGTTGAAATGACGTTTTTGGCCAAAGGGAACATCATAGCCCATTTTGCCTGATTTCTTTGTTCATAAAGCACTGATTTTTAAATGTTATTTATTTAATTTCTACTGCATAGACAGCCAAGTATTATTAAAAGCCTATCTTTCCAGCTGTGAACTATACCCTTTAAAACCATATAACAACAGTGACAACTAGCCCCAGTCTCTCCTCCTTATTTGATTGTAACATGATTTAAATGAACACAAGATATATTTTCCAGTTAAGGTGACCACATATTAAGAGAGCACAGTTCCAGATACATTCTTGTTCCTGACTTTTCAAGATGGCATAGCACCTGTTTTGAAAGCAGGTGTATAACAGTGTAGTGGTTAGACAGCTGTTGTGTGTCAATCACAGAACAGGATCAATAAAAGATATCTTTAATAATAGACTCCCATGGTCTCAAAGATAGCAGCTGACGGAGAATATCACATCAGCTACACCTCATTTTGATGGTACAGATGGTCCATTTGATTATATATCATCAGAACCTCCGGTGGCCCTCAGTTCCACTTCATGTTGTCCTTCCTGCATTCTCATGGGGTTGAGGAGTGATTGAGAGCCCCTCCTCCCTTCTTACCTCAGCCGTCACTCATCTCTGCTCTCATGTAGAACTGGAGGACACTAGCAGATCACAGGCAGGATTGTTGTCTTTGATGTGGCCCTCAGCTCCTCTAGATATCATTGAGGCTCCGTCTCTGGCTACGAGAGAGCTTCCATTAGTCTGTCAGTGAAAGCTCAGTCTTACCCGGGGATCAGATTCCGCTGTCAGCTGCCATGTATCTGCAATCAGGAGTCAGACTGTGTGTTGAGGAGCCCACAAGATAGAGATGAACTGGTCACGTCCTGTCATTCAAACCCTGGTTTGTAGAACGCATCACTAAACCCAAAGACTGAAGGGTTCTCACTCACTCATTTATATCACTCACTCACTCAATCTTTGTAAAAACCTTGTGTGTAATTTAGCTTGTGGCATTTGTAACACATTTACGCGTTACTTTGTGTAGACAGAAAAAAGCAATAACATAGTTTCCTTATGCCTTTAATTTTTGAATATTTTATTTTAGTGTTATTTAAATACTCTAATAGTATTTTTTATATTTAAAAAATATTTCATATCATATTTAGAAATGTAAAAAAAAATTGAGATATTATGCCCCCCCACCCCCCACACACACACACACACAAATTATTTGTGAGGCTTTTAATGAGAACTGTTGTACTATACTGACTTTTTTTTTTTACTTTTAGCTTCCAAAAAAAGAAGACTAATTTTAAAAACATGCTCATCACAGAAGATGTGTATTTAGAGTTAGTTAGAGTTAGAGTTAAATAAATGAATAGATCCAGACAAAAAGAATTAGCATGGTGTCATTGAACCCAGTTATTATTTAAAGAGACAGTGTCTAAGTAATTGTAAGAAAGCCGGATCCTCCAGTTGGATCCTTGCTTCTAACTTTTAGTCAGTACTTAGCTTAGGATGTTCTGTGGATCAAATCCACATGACTCGTATATTTCGGTCCTGATTCAGACCTTTGCAATTACTGTGGAATTTTAAGAGTGGTTGCATACCACACCAATTACATTTTTATCAC